CCATACAGAACAGGTACCCGTGTAAACACCAGGAAGGCTTGCAGAAAACTCACCCAGCAACAGACCTCCTTAACATCATCGCCCAGAGCACAGCACATATATAAAATAGCCCAAAGAGCTCAAAAATAAAACAAAAAACAACAAAAACTGTAACTGAGCTAAATGTGGACAATGTGGTGGTTACGATTTATTTTAATACGGTCAGCCACTGCATCTCAGAACAGCATCTCTGTTTCCATTTCTAAAAATATCGATCATTTCTCTACATCGGCAACTCTGAAACCATGAAGAACTAGAGCAGGGTATTGATTTTCGTTTCCAGTTCGTGTTTTGAAATGACCTTTGCTCACCAGCCTAACGCACACCAGCAGCCAGCGCTGTCATAACCTGCTGCGGTCTCCAATCCCAGCTATTCCCAAGGCTGGACAATGGCCAAGGCCAAGTCAAAGTTTCTTAACCAAAGATATCTTTTTTTTACCAATGATATTCTCTACTTGGGAAAAACAAAGCAAAGCAAAATAAAACAAAACAATAAAAAAACTATCTTTCACATTTAGCTACTTCAATCACAGAAATGCAAATTGGGGGTAGTTTGTAGTCTATGAAAATCATTTTCCTTTACAAAACCTAAATATTTAAAGGTATCTTTGCTTGTGCTGAAATATCATTTTCTGATATTTTGGCCTCTCCAACGTGAATCTTTTGTGAATATGAAGCCATTTTACAGTTCTTGGAATTTGTTTGAGGCAGATTCCCAAACAGAACGTCCTGGGAGGTGGGCAGGTGCAGGAAAAAATGCAAACTGCCACGTGGCCTTGTCCGGCATTTTTTCCCACGGGGCTTTAACGTGCTCCCTCCTGCCTGAGGAGATCATATGAATCTCCTCCGGGCCAGTCAGCGCATTGCAAAGATGCAATAATTCTAAAAAGTGAAAGTTGAGGTTGAAAAACCATAAGAGGTTACCGCATTTACTTTCCAAGGGATGGAAGAGGAAGTGGGAGGGCGCCCTCAGATGTCGACTTTCTCATCACCGCTTTCCCGACCACAGTGACTCGGCAAGAAACGCACCCATGACATGTCCACAGATTCCAGAAATGCCAGAGGGGCACACTGGTCACGTCCGCACACGGAGTGGGTGTCCAGTGAGATTTCTCAAAAGGCCCTTCCAAAGTGCAGACAAGACAAACGGGTGCGAGCAGGGTAGAGGAGGAAGAAACCTGGCTTCCCGCAATGCCAACCACATTCCCAGTGCCCGGCCTGCGCAGAGCCCCGCCCCGCACCTGCGCCCATAGCTGCCCGCCCCCGTCCCGCACCTGCGCCCGCAGCACCGGAAGCACCCCGCCCCCCAATCGAGCACCTGCGTCCGCAGCACACCGCCCGTGGCCGCACACCTGCGCCCTCAGCACCCTGCCCCCAACCCCCCCGCGCACGTGCTCCCCAAGCCAGCCGGCGCTGACCTTCCTCTCTGTCTCTGTTCATGCGCCCTCCGCCTCCTTCTCTTTCCCTCCCCGTGCCCTTTGTCCTCAAGTCTCCATCGGACCCCCTGTGACTAGGGTCACCTCTCTCCCTTGCACACTGCCAGTTCCGGCCTCTCTCCTGCCTTGTCCTTCTCGGCTCAGCCAAACGATCCTTCAACTCTTGACCAACTTGGGGCATCAACTCCCCAGCAGGTCCTCTGGAGGAGCATGTGGGACCCCCGAGCGGCCCTTCAATCTGTGGCCACCAGCTGCGAGGGGCCAGGACACCACCTACGCCTCCCTCTGGAGGCCTTTTGCTGCCTCCCTTGTCTCCGCAGACTCGAACCCCTTCTCTGCCATGGCGCTTGAGGCCGGAGCCTTGTTTCCCACTTCACAAGCAAGTGAGGGGCACTGGGAGAAGAGCTGCAGAGCCTCCCCCACCCCCCCCACCCCCCCCCCCCCCCCCCCCCCCCCCCCCCCCCCCCCCCCCCCCCCCCCCCCCCCCCCCCCCCCCCCCCCCCCCCCCCCCCCCCC